TTGCTCAGCCAAACAAAACCACCACTTTCCTTCGTACAGTATAGGACAGTATTGCTGCCAAGGAGCTTTTCTATACTCTTCCAAGGCAAAGGGTACTATTTTATAGAGAAACAACCAAAGAAATGATGTGCTTAAGGTCCTGAACACTAAGTAATGCCTACAGCTCTCCTTCCTAGATTCAGGGCTAACATTAATTCAGTATCTTGCTGTTGGGGAGTGGCTTGACAATAATGAATAGAAATTAGCTAAACAAAAATATTCTACCAAAACTAGCCTGGTAATCAATTCATTCATGCAGAAACAATAAGTATATACAAATAATATAAAGAATAAATGCCTTTAATCCCAGCACTTGGGAGGCAAAGGCAGGTAGAGTCCTGTGAGTTTGAAGCCAGCCTGGTCTACATAGTATTCCAGGCCCGCCAGGGCTAAATACTGAGATGCTGTCTCAAAAAAAAAAAGGGGGGGGGGAATAAAGTTTTATTTTTATACCAACTAATCTATTTTTTGAGGGAGGTTTTTGTTTTGTTTTGTTTTTAAACTCAAAACAATTTATTAGCAAGAGTTCCCAAATGCTGTTGGGTATGTGGTAGAACACACATGAAGGGGAGGCTCAAGATTCGAGGTCATCAGTTTTAACGCAAGTTCAAGGCCAGCCTGGACTACATAAGCCTCTGCCTCACAAAAAAAAGGGGGGGGGGGTGGAGCCTGGGAGGTAGCTCAGTTGGTCAAATGTTTGCCATGAAAGCATGAGGGCCTCAGTTCAGTCCCTGGAACTCACATAAAGCCTGGTGTGGTGGTACAGCTTATAATCCCAGTGCTGGGGAGGCAAAGACACGTGATTCTCTGGCCCAATCACTGAGCATCACAAGGTGACAGAGTCTCAAAAACCAAGGTGTAGGGCTAGAGAAATGGCTCAGCAAGTAAAAGTACTTGCCACATATGCCTGACCACCTGACCACCAGAGTTTGGATCCCTGGAACCCACGTAAAATCCAGACCCTCGCTCCATAATTCCAGCCTAGCATTCCTATGGCAAAACAGGAGGTAGGGTCAGAATGCCCCTGCAGCGGGCCAGCTAACCTGGAGTACCTAGTGCAGTGGCAAACAAGGGAGCTGACACAAGATAGAAGGCAAGAACCAACATCAAGTTTGTCCTCTGACCAACACACACCTTCCAAAATTCCAACAAGTCCATAAAAAGAGCCAGGCATGGTAGAACACATCTGTGATCCCAGCACTCACTCTGCAGGCAGCAGGTAAGTTCCAGGATCAGCTTGATCTAGTCAGCAAGTTCCAGACCAGCAAGGGCTACAAAAGGAAACCCTGTCTCAGCATCTCTTTACTCCCCGAGAAAAGGAGCAAAGAAACTGCCAGATGGAGTATTTTAAAAGGACTAAAGGAATGCTACATACTAGCTCCCAATATGGCTACACAGGTTATTACAATAAGCTGCTTGGCTTTGGGGTGTGAGTGCTGACTAGCAATTAGGTCTGTTTAGTGAAATGGAGAAAACAATACTTAAGTTTGTATAACAGATGATCTTTCGTGAGTTCGGAGAAACTATGTAATAAAGCCTACTTGAGGTTCACAGTCAAGATCAGGACAAATTTATGAAACAAACAACAACAACAACAACAAAATAGCTCAATTTCTGTGGCCTAGAAAGAAACTATCTATTTGGTTTTATTTCTTACACTATCCTTCATATGTAGTCAAATTACAGATTTCTTATCAAGTCCTCAGTGGTCTTTTAAGTATTTATGCCCTACCCATCAAATTTTTTGATGTTGTTTCCACCCAACTGATAAATTCTTAGCAGCTAACTTTCAAGGGAGGTAAAAGTCTACTTGAACAAAATATAGCTAGAACCACCAGTGGCCATACAAATCAACAGAACAAGTATTTACTGAACTGAAAATAAAACATATAAATTACACAATATTCTCACCATTAAAGGAAAAAAAAAAGACAACAGAACGTAACAGAACATAAGAAAACATCAAAGCAGAAATGATAAGAACTAAGACGAGGAAGGGAAAATATTACCATGAACTGCACATGACCCAGAAGAGTCTTGAGGGGCAATCAACCATGGAAAGGTACAAGGCAGAGGTCAGGGGCACATTCCACACGGGGAAAATGGCTGATGCAGGAGATTAAGAGAAAGTGGCACAGTATCTTCAGAAGCTTATTTAGAAACTGGTATGCTTGTGTGTAAAAGTGAGATTCTCCCTCCCTTCACTCAAACATTACAGAAACTATCCAAGGATGCTTTTGGTAACTTGGAAATGGCAAGAGCTGCTATATAGAAGAGGTCAATAAATACCCAGTTGTCTACAAAGGAAAAGAAGCAGGACAACTCACTAATGATCGACAACTTTTTAGAGTAACAAAGCACAAACCAAGTAGATAGGGTCTTGGCATATGAAATCCAACCACATTTTTCCCTTCCTATTTCCCTTCTGAGCAAATGTATCAATATGAACAAGTTGGGTAGATTATCAAACATCATGCTTTAAAAGTCTACCTTCTGGGGCTGGAGAGATGGCTCAGCGGTTAAGAGCACTGACTGCTCTTGCAGATGACCTGGGTTCAATTCCCAGCACCCACATGGCAGCTATGAACCGTCCTTAACTCCAGTTCCAGGGGAATCCGAAGTCTTCTGACACCCAAGGCATAGCAATGACACGGGTGCACTCACATACATGCAGGCAATAAACTCATACACATAAGGTAAAAATAATAAAAATAAATAAAAGTCTACCTTTTACAGAGACATATTGAAACATTTACAGGAAAAAAAATGATGTAGCTGGAATATGTTTCAAAACAATCCAAGGTGGGGTACATAGGAAATAAAACTGCCCAAAAGTTTACGCCATAGTTGAGGTTGGGTACATGTTTCTCTACACTACTAAACTTTGTATGTTTGTTTTTCCATAATAAAGCTAGCACACACTCATACTGAAAACCAAACATAACTGTCTTCTGATAATGTCTGTCATAATTCACTAGTAGCTCAATTTTTAATAACTGCTACTAGCAATATCATGACCCTTGTACACATCAACTCGTCTTTCCCTCAGTGTGTCTGAGCCTCTTTCTATCACTTCTACCCAATCCAGGTCCTCATTCTGCTCTGTCTGTCCCATAGGTCTCCCAGTTGGATCTCATGGGGACACTGCTGGCATTTTAGGTGGGGTGATTCTTTGACATGGCAGAGGGCCTAAACATAACAAAACACTTATAATCCCTGGACCCCTGGTATTAAATGCCAGCAAAGCAATCATACCACCCAACAGTCACTAGAATAACCAAAAACTCACATTTCCTAACACAACACAGCTTCCAGGCCCGGAGGCAGTTTCTCCATTTACATTAATAAATCTGTAGGTCCCCTCAGCCTACAAGTTTAGTAGCCTATTATTTAAATCAGCCCTACCTTTTCCTGGCCATACCTCAACTTCCACCAGAATAATCACCCTCCAAAGCCATTCAGACCAGTCTCCTCAGTCATTTACTTTATACTGGTAACTTCCTGTCTCCCATATTTGGAAAATCTTCACCAGGCTACATCCTGGGCTTCTCAAGTCTGAGTATTAACTATCCACACCTAAATCCACTTTTTAGTCAACTTTCTCAAGCTTCAGTGTCTTGCTTGGGTGGAGTTTCCTCTGTCTTGAATGCTCTTCCTCTAGCCTTCCAAATTCATACTCACCTATGGAAGCTCCACTCCCCAGAGCTTTTTCTGAGGCACACCTTCAGCTCACTAACCAAAATTAGTTACTCCCTTTGGCTTTCATAACACTACAGCAGTTGTCACAGTAGTTCTCACACTGTTGTACAAAACTCTCCAAGAAGATGAATTCTCAAAGAAGGGGCTGGTCTGCCAAGTTGTGATACACCAATGCCCACAACTACTCAATCAGCGTTGAGAAAGTGAATTCTCTCCTCACTACAGCACTTGACCAAACAGCACGGTCTTTGGTTTTGCGAGACATACCTTTCTACCCAGTACCCACGTTCTTCAGTGTCTGGCAATTATTTTAAGGTCAGTTATAACGTCAAGGCCTTCGGAAATTCCCACCACATTTAACAGAAAGGAATTAAAGACAACGGACTGTTTTAGCCATATTTAAACTACCAGCGTGACTCCTATTGCAATAAAGTATATTCTGCACGTGCAATCAAATCCACAATGAATAGCCTCATGTACACGTCTATAGGGAAAAAAAAGAAGCTAATACTTCAATATTTTATCAAGCTAACAGGCTTTCTGCTTAACCAGAGCAAACTCTGCGCGTGTCTTCAGCTTTGCGGTGACCATCTGCTCCCTCTGGGTGGCAAACTTGGGCAGCATCTCCTACCCCCCGTCACTTCCAGGCTGCCGCACAGGTAGGGCTGCACGCACCCGCTCCACCTGCCGCCAAGTAAGGTACAAAGCGCCGTGGACACACGTTAGCGACACGCAGGTTGGGGGAGAGGGATGGACCCAGCCATCCCGGGGGTGCATCCTCAACTTTTTTTCCTTAAATGACTGGGTTTTCAGTGTCCGTGTGTCCTCAGAGACCAACTTAGAAACAAGATCCGGCTGAACTGGCGGGGACCAGAGGGAGCCTGACGGAAGGAGGAGCAGTTAAAAACTTCAGGGCCTCCTCCGGTCCCACTGGGGCGCCGGCCGCCTCGCAGCACTCCCCGGAGCAGGCCGGCCTCGGGCGGCCATGACGACGGGCGGCGGGCTCCGGCCGCAGCGGTCTCCACCTCTGGGCCGGGCGACGGGGGCCGCGAAGGGCCAACAGCCCCAGCCGGCCGCGCCGGGAGCGGCGACGTGCCTCCGCCTCCTCCGCCCCGAGCAGCCCCGGCGGGGCCCAGCCGCCCGTGGGGAAAGGGGCGGGCCGCGGCGCCAGGGCCTCCTGGGCAGCCTCCCCTTTGTCCCGGGCCTCGGCCGCCCCCGGCAGCCCTCACCCGACCCCGCGGGGATACGGCCCCGCGCCTCACCGTGATGTTGCAGTGGAGTGTGAGCGGCGGCGGCGGCGAGTGCGGGCTACCAGGCGGCGCCGGGGGCGGCGGCACCAGAAACTGGCAGTGCAGCTCGTCCAGCTTCCAGCTGACGATGCGAAATCGCTCGTGGCTCTTGTCGAAGATGGACGCCAGGAACTTCAGCTCGGCCTTGAGCCCTGACACGGACATCTTCCCCTCATCTCCGGAGGGAGGGGTGAGGAAAGGGAGCCGGGCCGGGAGCCGCCGTCACGGCCGCGACCGCCCCGCGGGGCCGGCCCGCGCGGCTCCGCCTTTCCCCGCCGCCGCGAGCCGCGCCGGAGTGCGGCTGGAAAATGGCGAGGGCGCGAGGCCTCGGCGGGCAGCCGTGCGGTAGCCGGGCCGGCTGCTCCCTTTGTAACCGACTCCACCCGCAGGAGGCGGCGGCCCCGCGGCTTAAAAGGGCAACAGCGACACCGCCCCCGCCTCCGCCTGGGAGAGGGCGGCCCCCGCCCCGGCGCGCGCCCGCTGCTTCAGTGCGCGCGCCCGGCCGCCCCCTCCTCTCCATTGCCCCAGCCCCCTTCCGCCCCGCGCCTGGGCTTCCCTCCTCGCACACACCCGCTGGAGGTTCGGGGCGGGCGGCGGCGCACTGGCAGGAGCCCGAGCCCCCTGCGCGGGGCGGTCCCCGGCCACAGGCCAGACACGTGTGCGGCCTAGAGCGCGGGCCACGTCGGCGCCGGGCGGAAGCGCGCGGGCCCCGGGAGGTGGCTCCGGTGCATGGCTCTTCGTGGGCCACCCACTCACCTGATCTGGGCGTGGCGGCGGTGAGAGAGCAGGGGCGCACGTCGAGCACCTTTCTCGCCGGTGGTCTGGCGCTGCGCTAAGCACCCACTACTTTTCTGGGCTGTGCTCCTGGGAGCACCTTGCCGGACTCGCTGCCCCCTCCGCTCTCGATCAATCCATTAGCTTCTTCCCATCTCTCATGATTCGTCTTTCTCATAAACACTACCGGTGCTCTAACAGACGTATAAGAGCTCTTACCTGGAGCTCTTGCCCTATTTCCCAGGCAGGTCCTTATTTGTTAAGGTCTCAGCTAAGATGTCTCAAACTGATCCTTCCTGACCAATCACTCTCATGCGGGCACCAGTATCCCATCACTCTGTTAACTTACTGCTTATTTCCCTGTTGTCTCTGCCTCAGATACTTGTCTTATTCAGAGCTGTAACCCTAGAATCTAGGGGAAAACGTATTACATCGCAGACACCCAATATCATTTTTGCTCTTACTCTGAATCCTGAGCGCTTAACACAATCCCTGGCACATTATAGATGCCCCCAAAATGGATGAAGGCCTGCACTGCAGTCTAAAGGAATACTATATAATTTGGGCAGGCAGTTAATCGTGTATGTAGTAATGTGTTCTAAAGGCAGGACTAGCTTCCTGGACATGTAAACTATGCAGTACACCCGGCTTCTAGCTTGAAAAGGAGCAGTACCTAGCTTAATGCCCTCATGTTACCAACTCAAAAATTGTTTTCAAACAGGGACCTTCCTTATATTTTCTCTTTACACTGGTCTTGAGGTAGCCCTGAGGCCTGAATGTCTCCTGCTTCCTGACATACAGACATACCCTAGTCTTAGTTTACAGACCCAGGTAGATGACAACCACACAAGGATAACATTAAGACTATTCAATTGGGAAACACTATTTTCCTTTTTTTTCTGAGGCGCTATATCATGTTACAGTGCTTCTTAGCCTTTAGGAGGCTGGATCCCTTTGAGAATATAATAAAAGTTAGAATTCATTATTTCCAGAATCCAAGTATTTACAGAAAAATGCTTGTGCATGTAAAACTTTTACTTATGGAAATTCATGATACCAAACACTATTCACTGGGACTGAAAGAAGGGGTTTCAGTCCTGGGCTCTGAGCTAGAAATAACATACTGCATTGGTGTTATTGATACACTAAGCACAGATATAACTTACTTTATTTTTCCTTCAGTCCATTATGCTCAGGATCATAACTGATATGGCAGCCACAGACAAGGATTTGAAGCAAGGGAGCATTCTGGTCAGAACTAGGTATGGTCTAAACAGGTTACTTAAGTTTTATTTTATCTTTTAATGATGTAGGACAATAAACAAGTTCTGTATTGCAATTGCTCTTACATGTTACATCTCAGAGATATGTACATATATTAATTTCACAATTATTAGGGGTGGGCATCTGCCTTGTACCAAGCCCTAAAAGGCATAAGAACATGATTACCTGAATTCAAGAAGCTTAATATATAACATCAAAAACAAAATACTGTTTTGTAGTGTGTCAGCCTGCAAATAACAGAAAACTCATTGAAAATGGCTTGAACAATAAAGAAATTATGGCTTCGTGGCTTCATGTAATAAGTCCAAAGCAGAGCAGTCTCCAGGATTGGTTGGCTTGGTGCTTAATAAAATCATCAAGAGCTCCTATTCTTTGAATCTCCTTTGTCAGGCTGAAAGCAAGTCATATCCAAACATAATATTCAGAGACATAGAGGACATGTTCTTCCCTATCTCCTGCTAAACCATGGGAATCTTTCCAAGAACTCTCCCAGCAGACTTCACTCCTGTGTATATAGTTCAGCATTTTGGAGACCTGACATACATGCCAAGAACTATAGTTTCTTTTAATGAGAGTATCACTTTTAAAATTTGGCTTTAGAATACAAAGAGGATGAAAGTGAGTTTAGGAGAATGAAATAGTCACCAAGAAGGGAGAAAACCCAGATTCTCTAGTTTGGCCTACCACTGATTTCTAAAAATTGTGTGTTTATGTCTGTGTCTGTGTGTACATATGAATGCATGTGTGTGGAAGCCAGGAATCAACCTCTAGTGTCAATCCTCAGGAACCTTGTGTTTTTTTGTTTTGTTTTTTGAGACAGGATCTCACTTTGTGTAGCCCCAGCTGGCCTGGAACTGGCTGTGTGGATCAGGGCTGGCCTCAAACTTAGAGAGATCCACCTGCCTCTACCTCCTGAGTGCTGGGATTAAAGGTGTGCACCACCACCCCCAGGTCCCTATCCATAATACAATGAGGCAGTTTGTACCCAGCTGTAAGGTTCTCCAGCTCCAAACTATATTGAACCCTTTATGATGGTCACTCTAACTCAGGAGAGGAGGGAATGGAATACATAAAAGCAGAAAGGACTATGAGAGGAGGGGAAGAAATCCTAAAGGGGTGGAGTAATAAAATGCATGTGACATGAAAGAAGAAAGGGGGACTATTTAAGATGAAGGTAACCAGCAAGAGTTGAGTAGGTGCATAGGAGAGGAAGAGAGAGGAACATATAAGAACAAAATATAAAGACATGTGGCTGAAAATGCCATACTAGGGACTAGGAGATAGCTCAGTCAATAAAGCTTTTGCCACCAGGCATAGTGGCATACGCCTTTAATCCCAGTACTTGGGAGAAAGAGGCAGGTGGATATCTGTGAGTTCAAGGCCAGCCTGGTCTACATAGTAAGGTCAGGCCAGCTGGTGCTACAGGGAGACCCTGTCTCATAAAAAAAGAAAAAGAAAACAACAAACAATAAAGCTCTTGCCTTTGCAAGCATGAGGACCTGAGTTTGATACCTAGAACCCATGTCAAAAGAAAAAGTCAGGTGTAGGCCAGCAAGATGGCTCAGTGGGTAAATATGTTTCCTACCAAGCCTAATGAGTTTGATTCCTGGAACCCCTGTAAAGTAGGAGAGAGGTTGTGGCAAGTATGCCCAAAGAGAGAGAGAGAGAGAGAGAGAGAGAGAGAGAGAGAGAGAGAGAGAGATTATAATGAAACCCATTATTTTTTACACTAACTTAAAAATTAATTGAAAAAAAAAAACAGCTTTTAGATGAGTCCAAGTCAGTAGTGAGAAAAACTGAAGTAGGGCAGTGGCAGTAGAATAGAAAGGATCACACTGATGCTAGGGGCATTTCTGTGGTAGAACTGCCAGACCTTAGAGACAATGAAGGGATAGAGAGGGGTTTGTTCAAAGTAACATTGAAGACATGGCTGGAAGGGAGTGGTGCCATTGACACAGCAGGAAAAAGATGCTGAATTTGACGTGCTTGTGGGATAGCGCATGGAGATTTTATACCTTAGCCCTGAAGTTTCTAAGATGTTTAAAAGCTAGACATGGTAGGTCATATCATACCTGTAATCTCAGCACTGGAGAGGTAGAGGCAGAAGAATCCCTGGGGCTCCCCGGCCAGCCAGTTGAGCTAAATCAGTGAGCTCTAGAATCAGTAAGAGACCCTGCCTCAAAAAGTAAGGTAAGTGGCACATACCTTTAATACTAGCACTCAGGAGGCAGAGGCAGGCAGATATCTATGAGATCAAGGCCAGCCTACTCTATATAGCAAGTTCAGGCCAGCTGGGGTTACATAGAGACCCTGTCTCAAGAAGACAAAATAATAAAAAGAAGATAGGAAGCAACTGAGGAAGACACATCCAACACTGACCTCTCTGGCATAAACACATACACACACACACACACACACACACACACACACGTGTGTGTGTGTGTATATATATATATATGCCTTTTTTTTTGCTTTCTTGGAGACAGGGTAGCCTGCCTCTGCCCCCAGAGTGTTGGGATTAAAAGCTAAAAGCATGTGCCCCCCGCCCCCCGGTTTA